ATTTTTCAGTCACTACCCGGATTCGAACCCGGGACCTTTGAATGAGAGGCCAACACCTTAACCTCTAGGCCACAAGAGCCCCACGTTGAGTGAGTTAATAAATCAGCATGCTGATACCTGTTGTAGCTGCACATGACACTGTAGGTACCAGCCTCCACACATTTCTTGAAGGCTGGTAAAAAAGTCATCCTCCAATCTCTCTCTGTCACCTGAAACCAAGGCAAATGACAAATACGAGTAAATGAACAGACACCAGCATGCAGAGGCTGATCAAATGAAACAATTCCATACCATAAATAAGAGCAAATATGTTTTTGTCTCCAAGAAAACTACCTCGGATGCTTGTTGTGTACACAATTTTAGTCCATAATCCCCCCCCCTCCCCCCAAAACCACCCAAACATAATTGTTTATTTTCTTAACTCACTAAGGATGCTGCTTTGGGGCACTTTTAAGAAAAAGAAACATTAGCATTATTCATATAGATTAAATTTTCAATTCAACTTTCTTTATCTGTAACTATAAAATGCAGGCAACAACAGCATACTATGGAACATATAAAGTCACGTTTCTGATTTGAGTGAGATGGTTCAAAATGTGCCATAGAATTGCCTTTGGTCTGCAGCTGAATGAACATATGAGTCACTTTGCGGTGAAATCAGGTGCTCCTCAGTTTTCGGGCATGTGAAGTTATCAGTATCATCTGAAAGCTTATTGATTTGCCTTGGTTTGAGGAAGAAAATACTCAACAAGCTTGAGTAAAAGTTGAGATATTTGCGATTGAAGGAGGAGGGGGTCACTTGGTTTCAGAGTAAAACTCGTGAGAGTAAGGCCACCAAAGCTTGGTAATTCAATAGCCTGAGAGTCCTTGAAAATTGAACATTTACATATATTGTCCTTTTAATCAATGTTTTTCAGTACAATTCACATGCAAATGTGTTTTTGTAAGGACATAAAAAGTGTTGAGCCAAAAAACAATAATTCGATAAAAACTGCCAAACTGGAGGAAAAAAGCTTGTTATTTCTTCGATTCCATTATTTTGACTGGCCCCTGATTTCATCACAACGCCTCACAATATAAAAGTATGTGTCTGCTATGTCCTAAAAGATTTAATATGAAAGAACAAAACTCCCCAAAGCACAGTGAATCAACAAACACAGTTACATTTTACATTTGGAAAAGTGGAGAGGAAAGCACCATAAGAAAGTAATGTGGAAACTGAATGGACATTATTTTGTTTGTTTGTTTTTGTTTTTGTAAAGTGTTTTACAGCGCTCGCAACTGCATAGATCATATGAGCGCACGGGACACACATAATATTTTCAGTTGGTAGGAAATTTTGAATTTTGCCCGGGTGGGGCCGAAGCCTACTCTTATCGATTTTAGACCACCAAGGGATCTTTAACGTGCGCAACTTGCACACGGGCCCTCCGAGATTTTTCGCCCTTGTCCGAGAAGGCTAGGTGTAGATCTTTCCTACAAGAAGATCAGGGGTGTGGCAGAAAGACAGCAGTAAGGAGGAGCTAAGGAGTAGCAGTAGAAAGGCTGCAGAAAGAGTCAGGAGCCCAGAGGAGGGGGCAAAGGAGGTGAGGGGGCGGGGGCAGAAAGTGGAAATGAAAGCAGACAACAGAACATTGCTAGAGAGCAGGAAAGGAGGTGAAAGGAGACAATTTTAGAGAAGAAAATTTTTCGGTCGCTACCCGGATTCGAACCCGGGACCTTTGAATGAGAGGCCAACACCTTAACCTCTAGGCCACGAGAGCCCCCTCATTATTTTGTGCTACTAGAAAAACGCACATGAGCATCAAAGACAAATCTGGAGACTGGAATATTTTCAGGACCTCCGTGGACGTCAAAATGCTTGCAGCCAGCACTTGTCATGATGTACCTTGTGCCAGGACCTGTAGGTGGGGGAGAAGGGGGGGAAGGTGGGGAGATAACAAACCATAAAACGATTATTTTTTTATTTTGAGAAGGGCTCAAGACTGCCTGAATGGGAAGAGAAACATCATGTCTCCATTTAGAAAGCAGGCCACAAGCAAAAATGTCACTTGGAAAAATTATATAGGTTTAACACTCTTTGCAACACTGATAGGTTATTTAAGAGGTGGGACCTCCAAATGTAACACCCATCCCCGATAGGACCAAGCCAAATGGGAAAATTCCAGGGAACTGCCTATCCCTAGAGCTTGTTTTTTTGCTTTGTAAAGTGTTTTACAGCGCTCGCAACTGCATAAGGTCATATGAGCGCGCGGGACAAACCTAATATTTTCAGTTGGCAGGAAATTTTGAATTTTGCCCAGGTGGCTGCCGAAGCCTACTCTTATCAATTTTAGACCACCAAGGGATCTTTAACGTGCGCAACTTGCTCACGGGCCCTCCGAGATTTTTCGCCCTTGTCCGAGAAGGCTAGGTGTAGATCTTTCCTACCAGAAGATCAGGGGTGTGGCAGAAAGACAGCAGTAAGGAGGAGCCATGGAGTAACAGTAGAAGGCTGCAGAAAGAGTCAGGAGCCCAGAGGAGGGGGCAAAGGAGGTGAAAGGGTGGAGGCAGAAAGTGGAAATGAAAGCAGACAACAGAACATTGCTAGAGAGCAGGAAAGGAGGTGAAAGGAGACAATTTTAGAGAAGAAAATTCTTTGATCGCTACCCGGATTCGAACCCGGGACCTTTGAATGAGAGGCTAACACCTTAACCTCTAGGCCACGAGAGCCCCCTTCCCCAGAGCCTCGAACATGACAACCCACAATCTCATAATTACAAGTGTTGTCACTTCTATCCATATGATTTTACATGAGGAGGCCAGCTTCAAAGACAAATATTTCGTGGTCTTCTGTAGCCTGTACAATTTCTGGAGAGACACAGGGGTTGAGCAGACCTATTCTCTGAGCTTTCACTTGGGTAGGATGGGTATTTATTCAAAACAATATCGTGATAACGCAAAGCATGCTGAGGGGTGTGCAGAAATGTTTTCTAATGACCGCAACTCTTACCTTGGAGGCCAGAGACATAGTTCTGAGCCAAAACACCTGTCATGTACGGGTCTTCTCCATAGGTTTCCTAAAAGAAAAGGAAGACATATAGACAAACTAAGTCCGATTGGTACAATCCAATATTCAAATCTTGAGTTTCTGAACAGTTATAGCAGTTGTAGAAAGTAGATCTACCACTTTTTTTCAAAATCAAATTATGTATTATTGATCTCATTACAAAGGTTCATGTAATGGCATTTTTATTCAGGAATTTAAAGAAATAGGCCTTATATTTCACAATACAAACAGTGCGATGATTAGTATAGAGAGTTATCAGAATATACCATCACATTCTTTACTACAACATCAATACATCTATTGCCTATCTTTTAATCTAAAATAAGATATAAAAGCTTGGGAAGCTGAACTAGTTCTCTAACCATCCCGGGGTTTTTCACTACTACTCAATAGCTATGGAGTTTTTCTAATATATATGTGAGGCCTGCTAACAAAACGCGATACTTCTCGGATTTTAGCCTAATCAAATTCATAGGTTGATTTTTAACAATTTATTGGTATGAAATTACAAAAGACATGTTAAGCGGGAAGAAAAAGGCATTGGTTTAGAATCTATAAAAATAACCTTTGTGCTGATTTTCCGCCGATATCTTCATTTATTGATAGCGAGAAGTAACTCATTTTGTCAGCACGCCTCACATAGTGTTTGTGTATTATAAGTAAGGAAAAGCATAGATCTAGCACAATAATAAAGCCTGTATGATGCAAATAAAAAGTAAGACAAACAAAGTAAAAGTAAAACAATTGAGGCAAGAAAACAGAAAGAACCTAGAAGTGGTGACTTCAAACCACATGTTCAATGATTGTATTAATCAGTTTGACACTGAGCATTGAAGAAAAATGTGTAGCAACAAAGACTTACGAAACAAAACATAAGAACACGAGTAAGCCTAGAGACCCCCTATCCTATCCTTGCAAAAATATGCAACTATCCTTTCTTCCATCCACTGGCCTAACTTGTATTTTTTTTAATGGTAGGGAAATATAGAATTTTACCATGGCGGTGACCTAATGGGCTGCTCTTCTCTGATTTTCTACCATCAAGGGATCTTTAACATGCTCAACGTGTGCATTAGGCCTCCAAGATTTTTTGTTCTTATCCAAGAAGACTAGGAGCTCGATCTTACCTATCTTAAGATCAGGGGTGAGGAGGAAGGAGGGAAAGTGATAATTAAATCATTTATTCTGGTTGGGCTGTCTATTTATCTTAAATTGACAGCCACAATGATCTTAAGAAGTTAGAGACAAGCAGCAATGGGTGCAAAACTTGCAAAATGCTTTTCATAGCAATATCCTACACTGTGACTCATTCCATGGGTGGTTGGCGGGTGCTCTGGGGTGATTTGCTCCTTCATTTCTATCAAACACCTATCACCCTTATCTCTCCCCCTTTTTTGTATTTGTTACATTCTTGTGACGCCTCTAAACTTCAGCACTTATCTGACCTTACTGTGTTGCAAGTGCCGTAAAACTCTTACTTAAACTAAAAGTGTGACTCACCTGGTTCCTGCCCCACCGTGGATCTCTCATGATGTTGACCACCGGGCTGAAGCAGCTGGCACTGGTGTGGTCAGCGAAGATGCCTCTTTTGACAAAGTCATTGTGCTTAGCCCGCACCTCCTGCCCCGTCGCATGAGCAACCGTCTTAAGAATATGAGGACTGCAAAAGTAACACAAGGAAATGTTTAAAATAAAAGGTGTACTCAAAACAGGCCTCAATTCATTTACAGCACAAACTTCTTTTTTTTCTTCTTTATTCTTTTTGAGCAAGTATTATTTTCAACATTTTCTTTTAATTAAATTGATATTGAGTGAGTCCACAGAGAGAGACTAAAAACAAAAAAAAAGGTAGGGACATGTATTTTACAAAATATTTTTACAGTTTTATCATTTGCTTTGGCCGGACAATAAGGTTGATTTATTATCAGTTTTGAACATATTATTATTAACTACCTTTCACTCAGTCACTTACGTCAACAAAGAAAGAATCAGGCCACTGTACAACCAGAAACCCTTACTGAATTCCACTCTGTAGATGATCAGAGTCTTGCACATTATATAAAAGAAGAAAAACTCCAAAGATAACACCACTAGCTTGAAAGCTGCTTGCAAAAATTACATGCAGAAGTCAGTATCAGCAGACCTGTTGCTGTACTTCAGTCAAATGTGATGTCAAAGAATAGCCATTGAAGTTTCGTGTAGAATAATTGCTCACCTTCCGGATGCAGGTTCTTTCGGTGTCTCTTGATAATGAAGATAGGGGGGCCCCTTCTGGGTGGATGTTATTTCTGTTCTTCTGTGATCTAGTGCGACTGAACGCCTCAATGGCGACTGCTCTACGCCCCGATCGACTCTGTCCCTCTTTTCACTCACTCATGAGTGCACGGGTCTCTCCAGTCCCGTAAATCTCTCCACGTCGCTGCGGGTTCAGATTTTTGCATTTTTGCCAGTACAGACGGGCTGGTGTCAACTATTCTTTTACACCACATTTCTTTTTTAATAATTAGTTAATTATGAATTCCCATGCCCTGGACGGTACAACAGAACGTCCCCCCCCCCCCTCCCCTCGATGTTGTGAAAAGCATTTTACAGCATTCTCAACTGCAAAAGATCAAATGAGTGCGCGGGACACATTAAATATTTTTAGTTTGGTAGGAATTTATTTCGAATTTTGCTCATGTAGCAGGCGAAGCCTACTCTTATCGATTTTGGACCACCAAGAGATCTCCCCCTTTTGAGATCCACAAAAGGGAAGCAAAGAGCAAAGAGCAAGAAGTTTTACCTAAAAGTGGCAGCCAGACCAATAGCTTGAGGGAAGGCCGTTGCATTCCCCACAGCCTGTGCGTCCCCCCGCAGACATTCCGTATTCCAGTTGTATGGTCCAATACCTGGGAATGCATTAAATAATAATAATAATAATAATAATAATAATAATAATAATAATAATAGATAGCATGTGTATAGCGTAGATTCACTCTCAACAGCAAGCTCTACGTGTTTTATAATCTATATCAAATAACTAATAAAAAAAGAAATTAACATTGAAAAGGAAAATGACAAAAGAGCAGCAAAATAAGAATCCTAATCCCCAGCAAACAACTGGATATCTACATGTAAAATGTTCTGGATGGTCAAGGCAATTTCTTATTGAGTGAACACATCATCCAAAAGGAGTGCAGTGCGTTTATTTCTTATAAAATTGTTTTTATATATTTTATACATAGCACATGATCCTAGCTCTTTACAACTAGTATGACCCCCAGAAGACCCTAAAAAAATACTCTGAAACATACATTCTTGATTTTGTGTATGGGTTAAAAAAAATAATAAGACGATGAAAACCAAGTGCGATGGTAAAACAAACACACGAGTCGCCACCACTCGGAGAACGAGCGACGCTTCTGTCGCAAGTTCACATCAACATCCATTGTTACTTTATTACAGATTAGGTAAACAAATCAGTGACCAGCCACTTCACATACGATTTGTGCATGAGTAAGTTGTGGGCGGGGCTTATAGGTTATGACGGATTATGATACCCTCACCAGCAGTTGACAATTTATTGTTAGGCCTACCCATTTGTCCACTTGAGTAAACATTCATCGGAGGGACTAACAATAACAACACATGAATGAATTATGACGGCCCGTCCATAACGTGAGGGGCCGATTCAAAATTTTTGACAAAGTATTGGGCATTGAGTGACCACGTCCGGCTGCCTGATGCAGGCAAATTTGACTATGGGTTGATAAAATAAAGTGGCTGTGGCCGCGTTGGACAGGTGTCCGTTTTACACAGTTTAATTATAGAAAAAAACGCAAGGGGGGAAATGGAAAGTGGCCGTTTGCACAGATGGCCGTATTATACAGGTGGCCGCCATGGTAGGTTCGACTGTATTACTAAGAGTGTGTTGATGCCTACTCTATAATTCAAGTATCCAGTAACTAATCTCAACTCTTAATCTCTGACTTGTATTCATTGCTAAGAGAACTTTTTTAAAAGACACATGAATGCAGCAGCAGCAGCAGC